GGTCTCTTCCGACCCTAGAAACTATGAAACTATGAAGTAGACAAAAATAGGATGATTTTGATAGAGATGATCTTGTCTGGAGGAAGGGGCTGGACTGGATGACCTCCTGAAGTCCCTTCCAACTCTATTTTTCTATTATTCTATGATTCTGTGAATCTAAGTGGATATTTTGAGGGGATCCTGTGTAGAGAGTTTTAACCCCAACCCCTCTCCCCTCCCCCCCCATTTGACTTACTATGATTAAGTTTCTTGTCCAGACAAAATCTTCCAAATAAATATCCAGTTGCAACAGTTGGAGAAAAGACATTCATATTGTGGCAGTGGCATTATTTATATCTTATAGAAAAAAAGAACAGGATATAGCTCTGAATATAAAATACCCCAAATACTTTTAAGGGCAAAAGCATCTCACTCATTCTTCATTCACATTTTATGTTAGCTATTTATGGGTGCGTTCAAATGAGCTTGCACATGCCTCTTGCTGCATCTCAGAACAGTTTGACATGGCAAGACGCACGCTGGGAACAAAAAACAAACATTCCCCATGCTGCATATTTACACAGTGGGCTCAAAATTTGATACCTGGATACCCAGGTATAAAAAGAAAAACAAAAAAAAAAACACCAACAAAAACAAAAAAAACCACCCACAACCCCCCTCCAGAAAAAAGTGGGGCAGTGCACAGTATGGGACCATGCCCTGAGGCAACCAGAGACTCAGGTCCTCCCAAGAGATGTTCTGGTAGGAAGCCAGAGCATATTTATGCCTGTCCCTTGCCTCAATGCTGCAGCACGCTGCCTGCCTGAGCAGGGCAAACAGTGATGCAGGCGGCAGCAACCTGGACCCAGGCTCCATTCCAGGTAAGTAGGGGTTGGGATGGCCTGGAGGATGGGTGCTGTGAGGGTACAGGGGACCATGGGGGGGGCAGCTTTGGAGGGGTGCATCTCCACCTGTTACCCGCAGAGCCTACATGTGTCCCCACATCCACAGCTCACCTGTAGGAGCAGCTGCCATTGAGGCACTCGGTACCCTCTTGGCACAGCCCCTCTGCATAGTGTGGGACAGCACGGCTCAGCTCTGGCTGCCTGGGACGCAGCACTGTCAGTGCTATACCATGCAGGGCCGTGCACCTTCAGGCAAGCCCGGGCCACACTCAAGCTGTCCCATGGGGCCCGTACAACTCGTGGGGGCTGCCTGTTGTGCTGAGCCAGGTCCTGAGTGCACAGGCAGTGCTGGGTCAAAGGTTATCAGGGCCATGCCGTGCCACAGGAAGGGCTCTGACAGCAGTGGCCCCTCAGCACCCCATGGCCACTGATGCTGTTGGAGGGGAGGGATTGTGGGCCCTGTGGGAGACCCATGACCCCTGATCAGCCCACACCACCCATACAGTCCTGGTCACATTGAATCCTTGCTGCACTTCTGCTTGCCCCACCATGCTAAGGGTGCGTGCCCTGTGTAGTGAGACAGCAGAAGCACATAGAAATACTCTGGCCAGAAAACAGCATCTCTCCAGAGGACCTGCTTCCAGATGACCTCAGGTTACCCAACTCTTTTCCCTTGGAGGTTTTCTTTTTTTTCTTCTTTTTTGATATCTGGATATCCAGGTATCAAATTTTGACCCCGCGCTGCAAATATGCAGTGTAGGGAACATTTTTTTATTCACAGCATGCCTCTGGTAGCATCTCAAACTGGTTTGGGATGCTACAAGGGGCACGTGAACTCTTGCCTGGATGTGCCCTGTGCATGCAAAGAAGGCTGCATTTAAAGAAAACTTATAGGTACCTTTTGGTGTGATTGTTTTAATGCTGCTTATTAATGGGGCTAAAATTATATTAGAATTGGGTTTTTTTCTCATGCTATTTCAGTAGTAGTACAGTGAGCACTATTAAAGCTACGCAATGTTTCTTACTTCAGTGCTGTGCTATGCTGGGCCAAAGAGAAATTCACTATGGATATAAATTATACATAAACCAGTATAAGGGCGTGCATAGCTGAAATAGGGGCCCTAAATTGAAGTAGTGAGTTTTTAAATCACTGCTTCAATTTAGGGCCCTTTAAACCCTGATGTCGTGCCCACACTGACTTACCTGTCTCTCTGGCAGTGGGGAGGGGAGGGTGAGCTGTCAGCAGGCAGAGTGGTCCCTGGGCTGTGGGGGGGGAGGTGCTGGTGCTTTACTTTGTGGCAGTGGCAGCCCTCCCCCCAAGATGGCACCCAGCTCAGGGAGTCCCAGGGGAAGCCATGGAAGGAAGCACTGGGCTCCCCTGCAACTCATGCATGCATGCAGGCTCCAGCGGCAGAAAGGAAGGGAAGGTGGGAAGTAACAAGATCAGACTCACTGCTTTTCTTGGGCGGAGCCTGTCTGCCTTCCCAGGCTGCTTCAGGGATTCCTGCAGAGCTCTGCAGCTGTAGGGGCAGCAAACAAGAACTCCTCAGAGGAATTTTAGTTTGCTCACCCCAAGTCATTTAAGGCACATTATGCCACCAACTTTCCTACAGTGGCTGGAATTAATGCACAATACACTCCTGATGTATGCAAACACTGACACCATTAAAGCGGTGGAAAAGCATTTAGCCCACTTTAAAGTGCCACGCCTGTCATTTCATCTATACATGGCAAGAAAGCCAGTCAGTGAAAATGGACATGGAGGCATCAGCGGGTGAGGGACAGGCTGGGGTGGCAGAGGGGGAAGGGGGATATAGTAGCACAGGTAAAAGTGCAAAGGTACCTGGGGAGTCAGATGTCCAGCAGGTTGTAGTGTGTCATAAGTCTGTATTGGGTCCATGAGTCTCTGTGCCTAGGAGGCTGATGAAGTGAAGTTCATTGGCCTGGCTCTGAATGTGGTTTGTAAATTCAAACAAGCACCAAACCTCGCTAACCTAACCTCATCACCAGAAGCCAACTTCCTACAGCTCAAAACACAAAACCTGCCAACAATCTCCAGAATCCCCACAAAATGCACACCAAAATCTATCAAAGACAAGAACATCCAACTACCTGTGGGGGTGCATTTCTCACAAAATAAAACAACTCTCTGTCTCCAGTCTCTCAGGCCTGATCCTGAAAGGGAATTTAAAAACCACTTTTCACAGTCGGTCCTATGAGGTTCACTTCATCAGCCTCCTAGATAGTAGGTACAGAAACTCATGGACTCAATACAGACAGTGGAATTCTGACACTACAACCTGTCAGATATCTGATGCCCCAGGTACCTCTCCACTTTTACCTGCACTGCTACATCCCCCTTCTCCTCCCTCACCCCAGACTGTCCTTCACCCCCTGATGCCTCCATTTTCATTTTCACTGACTGGCTTTCTTCCCTGCGTTGCATGCCAAGCTCTGGCTTCTTTACTATTCCTTCCATCCAGGAACAGCACACACACACACCAACTGGAGGTTGCCTCCTGAGCCTGATAAAGTGTTTTCCAACCCAAAAGCTGGCTTCCCAGGCATCTAAGCTGAGCTCACCTGGAGCCTCACAACTCTACTTCAACCAGCAAGCCTCAGGCCTGTCAAAGACGTGACAGGTCTGGGCTTTCCCCAGACAGACTGTGTGTGCATGTGGTAGCTGGAGCTTATAGCACCTCCTACCACCTTTCACCAGGGGGATCCTTGGTCTTGGTATTTATGGGGCTGCTGCACCACCAGCAGTCCCACCAGGCCTCCCTGACCCTGGCAGAGTTCAGTTTTAGTTGCCGTGCCCAGAACCTAGGGCTTCCTCCTTCCCCATGGGCCCAGGCCAAACCTCCAAATTCATCCTGGCATGGGAGTTCAAGAGAGACATGTTTTTCCCCTGCTGTCTGGTGATGCAGTGAGTGCCCCTTGTAGCTCTGACAGTGGGACATTAGATGGCTTTTAAAAAATGAAAAAAGGAAATAGGTGCAGATGGAATGAGGAAGGTGGCATTCTGCAGGTGAAGCTTGGGGAATCCCAGCAGCGGGAGGATCACCTTGAGGAATATCAGCTGCTCCACCAAACCAGGATCCAAGCAGGTGTGGTAGGGTGTCACTACATCCCCAGCAATGCTGAATACCCTTTCACTCAGAACATTGGTCAGTGGACAGGATAGGAGCTTGAAGGCAACTGTGGCTAGATCTGGCCACATCTGGCTACAGCTTGCCCAGTAGGCCAAGGGGTCACACGGTAGCAGCAACATGTCCTTGGTAAGATAGGCAGCCATCAAGGCCTGAGTGCTACCTGCCTGATAGTGGGGTCTGGTGCCTCTAGACCCCACTATAGAAGCCATGCCCTTGGCCCACATTGGCAGCACCTGTGGTGGAGGAGGAGACTGGCTGGTGGATGGCATGTTTGCACGGGATGGTGAATCTCCCTCTCCCACTTCCCCCCACCTCCACTGTTCTGCCTCCCTGACTATCTTCACTAGCACCTTTGTCCACTGATTCAGGCTTTGGCTGCTGCATACATTGCCCTTCACCTTCGGGTCACTCATGGTGGCCAGCACATTGACCATACTAGACCGCAAGTGATCAAGCCATTTCCTGATGCCCTCCTTCAACAGCCTCACCAGTGCCTGCACATCTGGTAACAGAAGCTTGCCTCATCCAGGAAAATTGATACCCTGGAAGCTCTCCATTTGGCTCTGAAGTTTCCTCACTATGGGGATCACCTGGTTTAGGAGGGCATTGCCAGTGCTGAGGGTCTCAGTGGCCTCGAGGAAAGGATTGAGGACCACCAATATCTAGGAGATGGTATTCCACTCATCTCTGTTAAGAGGGCCACTGATCCCAATCTCCCTGAGCAAGGCCATCTCATGGATGGGCTTCTGTTGCTCCACCAGCCTTTTGAGCATCAGATATGTGGAGTTCCACCAAGTCTCCACATCCTACATGATTTTGTGCTATGGGATGTTCAGCTCCACTTGTTTGTCCCACAGCATCTTGCCCTCCTTGATGGTCCGGTGGAAGTAGCCTGCCACATTTGTGCATTTGGAAATGAGCTTGCTTGTGGTGCTGGTGATGTCACTGGCAGCCCTGTCCCCCTCAAAGGCACCCCTGACAATGAAGTGGAACTTGTGTGCCACACAGCAGATGCCAAAAAATTAGCATCATGGACCATCTTGACCATATTGGTCCCATTGTCAGTGACCATGAACCCGTGGGTGAGCTCACCCTGCACAATTAGCCACCCCTGCACCAAGCAGTTCATGTGGGTTCTGTATGTGCAAATTCACTGTTATGCGATGACCCTTTTTATACCACGAATTCATTATATGCAAGGTAAATACACTCTCATCTGATTGGTGTGGTGGAAGCCCACAGTCCACAGCTTTGTGAAGTGCATTGTGGTAGTGACGTGCACCAAAATATAGCTTTCTGTGTGGATCTGTGCTCCTTACTCGTTGCCTGTGACACATATTTCTGTAGTTGCTATCCCCATTACCTGTGCTTGTATGTATTGTCTGGTGTTGGTGAGTACGGGTTTACCTTGCTTTATGCTGTACATGTGTTCCTGGAAAATAGCGCATACCCTGAATTTGCATAGAGAATCCACTTTACAATGTAACAAATAGGGATACGTTCTAAGACCTCAACTGTACTCACTTCCAGACCCATTTCTACCACTTTTACAAGACAATGTTGGTACTCACCAACAGCAGACAGTACACACAAGCACAAGGCACTATCATAATGGGAATGGCAACTATGGAAACACCTGTTGCAGACAATGAGTGAGGAGCACAGTTCCACACAGAAAATTATATTTTGGTGCGTGTCACTCTCACAATGTACCACACAAAGCAGCTGACTGCAGTCTTCTACCACACTGATCACATAAGAGTGAATTTACCTTTCATATAAGAAATTTTTGGTATAAAAAGGGTCATTGCATAAGAGTAAATTTGCACATACAGAACCTGCATAAAGCGAGAAAAACCTGTACGAAAATTGTCTTGTATAAGTGGTAGAAATGGGTCTGGGGTTCAATATAGTTGAGGTCTTGGAACATATCCCTATTTGTTACATTGTAAA